ATTGCCTTTTCTGAATTGTACCTTTTTATGTCTATCCATATAAATAAGCTCTTCATTAACATCTTATTCCTTTAAAATAAAAACAACACAACTCATTGAATCATAAAACAACGTAAATTATCTCAAACTTATGCAACAAAATATAATCGAACATAATCCTTTGCAATAAAACACAAACCAATACCCACATAAAATCGTCCCTCATTTAGATGGTCTCTGTGGTAATTATCGAGGGCAAGACGGTCTTCATGAGTGCAGCGAGGCTCGGCGTGGGGACTGTCTTAATGGCGCCACATGCGTGCTGGTCCCCACAGGTCCATCTAGTGACGCTTTAGACATCATTACTGGTGGTGGTGGTGGTGGCAAAAGCGTCAGCAATGGCAGCATCTATAGTCCTCACCATGACGTTGAAAAACCTGGATTTCATTGCATCTGCCCTCCCGGATGGATGGGTCCACGCTGCAACGAGGCCGTAAGTGAGTGTCAGACGCGACAGCCCTGTCAACATGGAGCAACTTGTCATGATGAAGGCAATGGCCGATATCAGTGCTTATGCGAGGATGGATTCATCGGTAAGTCGAGAAGGGGAGAAGCCGCGGACAAAGTGTAGATACAATTATCCGCATATATGACAGGAGAACATTACAGTAATCTATTGTGACATGGCTTTCCATTTCGAAGGAAACGTTGATTTGAAGGAATTCGTGTAATGATCTCATCGGAAACCGAAGGAGGATTGCCGCTGATTGAAGACTGTTGGATTGTGCGAAAAAGTCCTCGGCTCCCCCGTCCAATCAGAAGTCTTTGCTCCCTGGCAATCTTCATTCGGTTTCTGTTCAGACTATTTCACGAATTCCTTCCAACCAACTTTTCTTTCCAAATGGAAAGTCGTATCACAATATATCATTAATGGATTCTTCGAAACCTTGTTTTTCTATATAGCTTCGAAATTAAGTGATTGCCTAAAATTAATTCACAGTTAATTCCAACGAAGTGGCCATCCGTGTACATCCAAAAATGCAACTGCCCTAGTTTCAAACTCCACCATGCTCTTTTGCCACGTAGAACTCATCAGTGATGCCATGTATTTACCACAGATATTTGGAGCTGCTAATCACTTGGTGAGTGGTTAAGCATGCTCATGCATAATGTTAATCTATGTTTAGCTGAAAATCGACTTTGGGATTTTTTGACTAGCTGAGTGCTTTATGAAAGTAGTACTAATGCTTTGTGTTTAGATTGATGTTCTATTTGCCAAAAAGCAAAATATATAAACTGAATATAAGGCTATTAAGGATATTTTCGCTCTGCTTTAGACTGATTGTTATCAAGCTCCATATGAACACGATTGGAAATAGTTTTTCGTTTCATAGGTAGGTTTTTCAAGACTCCCAGTATATCTGATGTACGAGCTGCGTTAACCCTCTTTCGTTTAATGTGACGAAGGACTGGTAGTTTTATTTTCCCTACAATCAGATAAGTAGATGTCACATTTCCATTGAATTTC